GGTTTTTCTATTGCTAATATGAATGTCACGTCTTAATGATACTCCTAATAACCTGCTGTACTTTGGAAACACAAAACATCTCGGCAAATTTAGCCAATCTCAGGTACATTGCCATGAAGACACTCCAAGCGAACTTACTTCACCGTGAGCCAACACGACCTTGGTGGTGGTATGGGGGCTTTTAACCTTTCAGGGAAGACTAGATTCAGCTACACTATCCGCCACTGTCAGGGAACGAACCCATCCTGCAGGTTCAAAAGGATCTTTACCAGCTCAGGGGTCTTCTCAGCGCATTCCCTTGGCAGACAGGGACACTCGTTCTTAAAGTGGATGGACTAATTTAGTTCAGTAAAAGACACCTTTATATAACGCTTTTTGTCGCTTGGCTCCCCTTAATTCGTATTGGGAAAAGACCCTTTCCATATTAGTAGGATAATTCTTTCTCGACATTTTCGTTATCTACCATAAATAACATTGTGTTCTGGTTCATTTTACTCATATAACTAATATGTTATCTTAATGTATTAGATGATATCTCATTACGGCTGTGAGTAAGTTATGGTATGACGAGTATAATCTTTCTCATGGTTGTTATTCTTGGCCTAGATGTGAGCAGTAATGGTTTGTTTGTGTTTTCTAGGAAATAGCTTACCGGTCCATTTGTTTTGAACGTTGAGTTCCCTCAGGTCGATCGCTTTGGAAAACCAAATCACATAATTAATTAAGTTCACATACTTCTACTATCTGTTAATCAGTTTAACAACAATGAGTCATCACAAATTATACTCCCTGGAGCCTGCAAGTTGTACTCAATGATTGTCTCTGATTCTCTTTGTAAATCATCTTACTCTCAGTTCATACAACACGCAGTCCCAGGCCAAATCTAACAACATAACTAGTACAATCTTGGTCAAGATTATCATCACGAACACAGTCGTGGATCACGCTGATATTATTTCTCCGTTCATATAAAGGCATTGTGGCTCCACTCAGTAACTGGCGTGTTTCATGATACAGTTTACTGAGCACTTTTAATAAGCCACACTGGAGGAAGAATGGTGAGCTTGCTGCACCAAATAGCACCATAAGACAGGTGGGGTCGCTGGGCAAAAGTTATTTCGAATTATCACGGTCTGAATCTCTCAGTTCTATACTCAGGAATGGCTAGTTAATATTCGCGGTGATGGCGAGAGGATTTTCAAGGAATTTTAACAAATGTTTCCTAACTTTTGGGTTAAACTCTGCCCTGTGAGGAGGTAGTCACTGACACTGACCGAGCTCATGATACTACAGTCAAACACCGCCGACGACGCTGCAGATTTACTCTCACAGAAAAGAAGCAAATGTTGGAGGTAAGGTCACTAGTGGCCGGGAACAACACTCAGTAATTTCCTGACACAAAGATTCATACACAAAACAACACACACACTGACATATTGGATAAGAACCTGTCCACACCAATATCCTCGACGTGTTTTGAATTATCAAGTAAAACTTCATATCAACACAGCAGATGAGAGTCGTCCTCTATGAAGGAGAATCACCTACCTTAGGGTTCCTACAGCCACATTTCTCATAAGGGTCGTTGGGAGGATCAAAGGACTTTCTCGGGTTCCTCGCCATCTTTTTCTTTTTCTTCTTTGACAGATCCGTCTCTTCTGACTCCTCTGTTATCGGCCTCTTGCTCGGCTCACCTCCACCGTTGCTCTCACTAGGAACAAAGAAAAAGATATTTGAACTAAACAACTGTTATACTGTACAACAAATAACAACACCCACATAAAGTACACTGATCGCCACCATCACTTCCCCATACTAATGTTAAGCTGAGGGTAACAGTGAATGAGTAACACTACCAAGAACATCAGGGTCGTTCTTTATGACTCAACGAAGTAATTCATATCTTCTGTTCGTAAATATACTGTATATATACCTGTGTGTGTGTGTGTTATATGGAAAAATACGACATAACAATAATTACTCTATATTTCATTTTCCCAAAGAGAGTGGATACAAGAGGGGCGTAAGGTGAGCGACAGTCACAGCTGAAGAATTTACCTGTCATTGTGATGGAAGACTCTGTTAAAAGGAGAAGTGAAGAGAGGAAAAGCTACGGATTATGTTGAAAGCAATCTCAGACTTTACATAGCAACAGCGACCATCACCATTTTTATTATTTCAAAAGATCACCGGGAAAGTTGCAGCGGGATGGCAGGGAGAAGGGGAAGCCATGAGTATTCCAATAAGTGAGTGTAAGGTGTTATTGTACTGTGTTGATGAGTGTTAGTTTGGGAGGATGAAGTCTGGCACGTGGTATTCCTATTTACCCTAGATTATAATGTGGTATTTGGTATTGTCATGTTTAAGAGTACTGTTCATGGAGGGAGTAATTGGAGACGTGTGTGTGTGAGAGGTAGGGGGTAAGATGGAGGAGGGGGGGATCTGAACATCTCCCTCAAGTCTTGTTGAATCACAATGGTAGTACAGTACTTCCCTTCTCTGAGTAGTTATTCCCTGAAACTACATCAACTCTCTAACCTGGAAACTGGTGTCGCCTTGGTGGATGAAGGAGAGGGGAGGGGGGGAGGTGAGAGAGAGTACCTCGCTGCCTCTCTCCCCCCAGCACTTCACCCTCGCTCTCAGTGCATCATAATGGCTAGGAGAATGAATTTATGTGCGTCAAGTTTATCTTTTTATCTTTAAAGTTAAGGAAATAAACATTGAACAACAACTAAACCTGTCTTCAGTGTTGGCCAGTTCTTCCTCTTGCTGCATTTGTTGTTTTTCCTGGGCGCGGCGCTGACTCTCATGAATCTTTTTCAGGTGTTCCTCAGGGGGAATACGAACATAGGGCTGACACAACCAGGGGGCCATTGGTAGACGCGCTTGTTCACCATCCGGCTCCGGGTTCCAGGGTTTTTCACCGGTGTAATAGGGCATCATCCGGTCTTTGAGGTTTTGTACCACTACCACCATCTCCTCCGCCGACGATGTCTTGGACAGTCGGTACCGCAGGTCAAAGTTCTCACTCATGCACAAACTGTTGAATATGTGAAAATATTTATTCTCCACTTCACATATATGTTGCTCTAATCGTTTCTCCAAAATGGTTTTGTTACGAAATGACATTTTTTTTTCTCTATAAACTGAAGCACAATTTGATCTTCACACGATTAAATTTCTTTTCATAACAGGACTCTTCAACATGTAGACATACAGTACATGAAAAAAATAGATGAATCTTCTAAAGGAGAAGATAAAACATACTTATGGTTACATAATACTCTGAAGTGTGGACTTACCAGTGATGAAGGAGCTTGAAGACATGTCCCCTGGCGTAGCTTGTTGGGCAGGGGTAGCGTATGGCCAACTGGAGGTACTCAAGGGCCATTTCCCAGACAGGTGGATGAGTGCCTTTGAAGATGGCCGGGTTGTGAAGGTTCCCCTCTGCACTCATAACACCGTCAACACCAGTAGTGGCCAGGCAGCGCTCCACGTCCTCCTGGTACTGTATGTTACCATTGGCCAGCACGGGAACACTGACCGTCTCCCTGCACCAAAGAACACAAAACTCTCCCAGTTACCATCATTAACGTATCACTCACAACAACTTAATAATTAGTTAGTGAGAGATAAGAAATGTGGCAAATACACACCTGAAAAGAGGAGCTGCCACTGTGAATAACATCTGACACCACTTGATAAGAAGACAATATCGTCACGGTAAATAAACATATAGTAAAGTATCAGTAAAGTAACACATGAGGTGGAGTACTAACCAGACCATCAACACATAACAAAATGACAACAGCAGATACCTAAAAATTCACCATAATTAAGGGCACGAGATACAACACCACTCTAATACGGTTCTCTGTCTCTATAAACGCCATAAAAGCAGACAGAGGTAAGACCCAGTTTTAAGAGACAAATCATAAGCACCGCGAGAAGCCTGTGTTCTAGACAGGCCCCTGGAGGAGAGGTGGAATATCTTCTTGTTAGGCCTGACGAGTAGTGAGACAGTAATGGTCGCCCTAACCAGAATACGTAGGCTCTTTGCCCACCACCTTAATGTACAGCGTGTTCTCTGCTGCCACCACACACTCAACCAGGCCAGCCTGACTATGATGCTTCTGCTACAGTGATATTATGTGGTGGTGGTGGTGATGGTAGTGGTGGTGTAAATGCGGGCTTGTGGTGGTGGTAATAGTAGCGATGATGATGGTTTATGATTCAGAAGGTAGCATTTATAGTGAATGGTAGATGTAATAGCAGAGGTTATGGTGATGGCTAGAGGTGAAATGTTGCTGTGGTAGGTTATGGTAGAGTAAATTTTGACGGTGTAGAGGGAATTCTGGTTGATTGTGGTTAATGGCGAGAGTAGAGGGAATTCTTGTAGATTGTGGTTATGGTGGTAGTAATGGTATTTACAACCCCTTGAGTACGATGACAAATCACTGTACCTGAGGGGTTAACGTTAGTCTGTTGTTGTCTGTAGTGATGTCTGTAGTGATGTCTGTAGTGATGTTTGTTGTCTGTAATGATGTTTGTTGTTGACTGTAGTGATGTCTGTTGTCTGTAGTGATGTCTGTTATTGTCTGCAGTGATGTCTGTTGTTGTCTGTAGTGATGTCTGTTGTTGTCTGTAGTGATGTCTGTTGTTGTCTGCAGTGATGTCTGTTGTTGTCTGTAGTGATGTCTGTTGTTGTCTGCAGTGATGTCTGTTGTTGTCTGTAGTGATGTCTGTTATTGGCTGTAGTGATGTCTGTTATTGGCTGTAGTGATGTCTGTTGTCTGTAGTGATCAGGGCCGGACTCAGGAGTGGGCAAAGTGGGCAGCTGCCCAGGGGCCTCCACAATCTGGGGGCCTCCTCATGTACGGTAGTAGCTATATCAGGGCTGGTCGACTTGAAACCACATGAATGACTCCAGTCATGTCTCACGTTTGTGTGTGTGTGTTGGGAATTTGTACACTATCAATAAATATACAGTTAATTAAAAATTTCTCAATGTTTTAATTTCCTCAATATAACTGCATATGGCTTCAAAATTCTCCAAAGGAGTGTTCAAATTTCAAAATTTTCCCGGGGGGCTTACAGCGTCCCCCGGAACTCCCAGATGTTTAGGCTCCCTTCACTCGCCACCCCACCCTCTTGGGTAGTTATAATGAGGGGGGCCTCCACAAAGAGGCTGCCCATGGGCCTCCACAGATCTAAATCCGGAACTGGACATCACCCCTCCCTCCGTCCACATATCACCCCTCCCTCCCTCCACATACCACAAATTTCCCGTTTTCTATAATCTGCTTTGGAAAATATGTTATCTCCCAAAAAGTCGATAATCTACTTCCACGAAAAGTCGAAAGTCTACTTTCCCGAAAAGTAGATAATCTACTTTTCGGGAAAGTAGATAACCAACTTTCCCGGAAAGTAGATATTTCCCATTTTCTATGATACAAATTTCCCGTTTTCTATGATAAGTAGATAACCAACTTTCCCAAAAAGTAGAAATATTTCACATTTTCTATGATACAAATTTCCCGTTTTCTATGATAATCTACTTTGGAAAACATGTTAATACCTCCCAAAAAGTCGATAATCTACATCCACGAAAAGTCGAAAATCTACTTTCCCTAAAAGTAGATAATCTACTTTTCGGGAAAGTAGATAACCAACTTTCCCGGAAAGTAGATATTTCCCATTTTCTATGATACAAATTTCCCGTTTTCTATGATAAGTAGATAACCAACTTTCCCAGAAAGTAGAAATAGTTTCACATTTTCTGTGAGACAAATTTCCCGTTTTCTATGATAATCTACTTTGGAAAATATGTTAATATCTCCCAAAAAGTCGATAATCTACTTCCACGAAAAGTCGAAAATCTACTTTCCCGAAAAGTAGATAATCTACTTTTCAGGAAAGTAGATAACCAACTTTCCCGGAAAGTAGATATTTCATATTTTCTATGATACAAATTTCCCGTTTTCTATGATAAGTAGATAACCAACTTTCCCAGAAAGTAGAAATATTTCACATTTTCTGTGATACAAATTTCCCGTTTTCTATGATAATCTACTTTGGAAAATATGTTAATATCTCCCAAAAAGTCGATAATCTACTTCCACAAAAAGTAGATAATCTACTTTTCGGGAAAGTAGATAACCAACTTTCCCGGAAAGTAGATATTTCACATTTTCTATGAAACAAATTTCCCGTTTTCTATGATAAGTAGATAACCAACTTTCCCAGAAAGTAGAAATATTTCACATTTTCTGTGATACAAATTTCCCGTTTTCTATGATAATCTACTTTGGAAAATATGTTAATACCTCCCAAAAAGTCGATAATCTACTTCCCCGAAAAGTCGAAAATCTACTTTCCCGAAAAGTAGATAATCTACTTTTCAGGAAAGTAGATAGCCAACTTTCCCGGAAAGTAGATATTTCCCATTTTCCATGATACAAATTTCCCGTTTTCTATGATAAGTAGATAACCAACTTTCCCAGAAAGTAGAAATATTTCCCATTTTCTGTGATACAAATTTCCCGTTTTCTATGATAATCTACTTTGAAAATAAGTTAATATTTTCCAAAAAGTCGGTAATTTACTTCCACCAAAAGTCGATAATCTACTTTCCCGAAAAGTAGATAATCTACTTTTCAGGAAAGTAGATAACCAACTTTCCCGGAAAGTAGATATTTCCCATTTTCTATGATACAAATTTCCCGTTTTCTATGATAAGTAGATAACCAACTTTCCCAGAAAGTAGAAATATTTCACATTTTCTGTGATACAAATTTCCCATTTTCTATAATAATCTACTTTGGAAAATATGTTAATATTTCCCCAAAGTCGATAATCTGCTTCCACGAAAAGTCGATAATCTACTTTTCGGGAAGTAGATAATCTACTTTTCGGAAAAGTAGATAACCAACTTTCCCGGAAAGTAGATATTTCCCATTTTCTATGATACAAATTTCCCGTTTTCTATGATAAGTAGATAACCAACTTTCCCAGAAAGTAGAAATATTTCACATTTTCTGTCATACAAATTTCCCGTTTTCTATGATAACCTACTTTGGAAAATGTTAATATTTCCCAAAAAGTGGATAATCTACTTCCACGAAAAGTCGATAATCTACTTTCCCGAAAAGTAGATAATCTACTTTTCGGAAAAGTAGATAACCAACTTTCCCGGAAAGTAGATATTTCCCATTTTCTATGATACAAATTTCCCGTTTTCTATGATAAGTAGTTAACCAACTTTCCCAGAAAGTAGAAATATTTCACATTTTCTGTGATACAAATTTCCCGTTTTCTATGATAATCTACTTTGGAAAATATGTTAATATTTCCCCAAAGTCGATAATCTGCTTCCATTTGTGTGTCGAAAATCTACTTTCCCTTTGCAAAAGTAGATGACCTGTTTTCGGAAAGTAGATAAATCAACTTTCCCGGAAAAGTAGATATTTCCCATTTCTATGATAAATTTCCCGTTTCTATGATATAGATAACCAACTTTCCGAAAGTAGAAATATTTCACATTTTCTATGATACAAATTTCCTGTTTTATGATAATCTACTTTGAAAACATGTTAATACTCTCCCAAAAAGTCGATAATCTACATCCACGAAAAGTCGAAAATCTACTTTCCTAGTAGATAATCTACTTTCGGAAAGTAGATAACCAACTTTCCTGAAAGTAGATATTTCCCATTTTCTATAGATACAAATTTCCGTTTTCTAAGATAAGTAGATAAACCAACTTTCAGAAAGTAGAAATATTTCACATTTCTATGATAAATTTCGTTTTCTATGATAATTTACTTTGGAAAAACATGTTAATACTCTCCCAAAAGTCGATAATCTACCTCCACGAAAAGTCGAAAATCTACTTTCTTGAAAAGTAGATAATCTACTTTTCGGGAAAGTAGATAGCCAACTTTCCCGGAAAGTAGATATTTCCCATTTTCTATGATACAAATTTCCCGTTTTCTATGATAGGTAGATAACCAACTTTCCCAGAAAGTATAAATATTTCACATTTTCTGTGATACAAATTTCCCGTTTTCTATGATAATCTACTTGGAAAACATGTTAATACCCCCAAAAAGTCGATAATCTACTTCCACGAAAAGTCGAAAATCTACTTTCCCGAAAAGTAGATAATCTACTTTTCAGGAAAGTAGATAACCAACTTTCCCGGAAAGTAGATATTTCATATTTTCTATGATACAAATTTCCCGTTTTCTATGATAAGTAGATAACCAACTTTCCCAGAAAGTAGAAATATTTCACATTTTCTGTGATACAAATTTCCCGTTTTCTATAATAATCTACTTTGGAAAATATGTTA